GGTGGATGTTAAGGATTGTATTATTGGAACTGCTCCCCACCCCACCAAAAAAAAAAAAAAGTAAACATAAGATTTTCCAGGGAGAGCACAGGTATCTGCAGGTCAGTTACTCGATGGCAACCCAGCCGAGGTGCTGAAGGGCTGAATACAGAGCGTTTCCCACTAATCCAATAAGTGCGATTGAACCAATACCTCCTCGTCTTCTCTTTTTGGGATCTATAGAGAAGACAGTATGTGTTTACTTAATGAAACAGCATCATCCTGCTTTCTAGTTTGGATTGTCTGCTCCCTAATCCACAGCACTAACCTAAGCAGAGCAGTGAGGTTTATAATTAACATTTTAGGAAGAGGACAGTGTTTAGGTTGGGGTAGCTTACTAGAGTGACTTTAGTCTAAGCTATGCAATTTATCCCCTCTCGGAAGAAGCCACAAAGTTTTGATGGCCCATGATTAGAAGCAGGTGGCTGATGTTTTTGTAGCATTAAGACCTCAGCCCTGTTGACAGGCAGCTTGGTTTCCCTTCCCATGATACCAGCCAAATCCTGAGTTCAGGGTTCTGTGTATCCTCTGCTCCAGCAAACAGGGCTGACAGCTGAATTGCAGCTGCATACTTAATGCTACTACAAGTAGTAGCAGATTTCCTTGGGGGAATCTGAACTGGGCAGGCATATAGGGGATGGAATAATTTTAGGTAGCACTTGCCCTGTGGACAGTACACAGAATGTCTCTACTTTGGGGTCTTGTGGCTTCTGCGTTACTACAAAAGCTTTGTCATTCTCCAGCCACTCATGCCAGTTGTCTAAGGAACAATCGGGTGCAGAACCAGCTTGGCAGGCTAAATACTTCATATACAGCAGGGCAGAGGCTGGCATATCACAGTACTACCTGAATAGCTGCTTTGGGAAAAAAAAAAATCTGCAAATAAGCTCTCACCCTGGGATAGGAATCTTTGTCCTCATCATCACCAATGACTTGCAAGGCCATCTCCCAGTAGAGAAAAAAACTGGGACATTAGCATTGAGGTTGTAGGGTGGAGAACCCAAGTTTCAAACGAAGTCAGTACTTTGCCCACTGGCCTGACAGTGCTTTCCATCATTCAGTCTAAAGACTCACCCCCTGTGTAATAGCCATAGGCATACAGTATTCTCCCAATGATCCAGGCATGGCCAAGCCCAACAGCAACACGCTGGAGATAAACAAGAAAGATTAAGGACTTTGGAGCTTGGAAAACTGACTCACTGCTGTTTATCCACTTTCACTTGGCTAGTTTGATACACAAATACTCCCTTTCCCTTTTTTCAACTCTATTTCCATTCCTGGTGGCAGAAAACACAATTTTTTTGGCCTTTTTTTAAAATGAAAAAGTTATGGAGATCTGTTTAGAGAAAGTCTCCTTTCCCTTCTGCCCCTCAATTTTAAGGTGAACAGCTTTGTAGTACTGCACATATTACAGACCACCCAAGACAGGAGCTCAAAGCACGCAAGGGGGAAACTAAAGCTAAAACGGCAGCTTAGTCCTCTTTCATTTGTTTCTGCATACTGTGTGGTAGCCCCATGCACACAGGCATCTAGCAGGACCATGTGACTGAGTAAAATCCTACCCCCTTTTACTCTATAAACCTAGCATATGACATACCACAGTGTTAATCTCATAAAAAGATAAAGATAGGGTTCCCCATGTTGCATTTTACCTATAACCCCACCATTTCAGACCCGACCTATGGATAGGACTTACCGGGTGATAGGCTCCACCTGTAGCTAGAAAGAACAGGAAGGCGGGGTAAACTTCCAACCTGAAAATGAAACGTGGAAGTTTACACTTGGACTCAAGTATCTATTGGTTTCTGAAGAGATCATTGTGAAAACTTAGCCTGGAAGCCTGCCTCATCTTGCCCCACATTAGCAAAATTGAAAAAATAATCTAGATTATAGGAACCATGAGGAAGGTGCTGAACTACTCACAAGAGGATTTGAAGTCCAGCCTTTAGCTGTCCCTATACTACCAGCAGAGTGGAGGCAAGGTCTGCCATGTGGAGCCAGAGGGAGGTACAACAGAGCCTCACTGCACAGATTTGGGAAACCTGGAGATTGCAGAGGCACTGCCCAGGTTCACCACTCCATTCACTGCATGCCCTGAGGTTCCCTTTTAGAGGCGCTGCCAAATGCTAATCACTATTAATAAGCTAGGGAAAGAGCTCCTTCTAATACACACCAATCATGCTGTGTTGGCAGTCTCATCACTCCTGGCTGGTAATTAACAAGCCATGCATTCTCTGGGACATTCAGACACTCAGCACAGCAAGTTTCACACCCAAGGCAATGACATACCTCTGGAAACACAGGTCTTTTGCCAGAGGCAAACTAGCAGTGTCTATGACACACCACCACAGTCCCCTCCATAAGGATGGCTTATAGTCTGGCCTTGGCTGCAAAAACAAGCCTCTGCAGTATCAGGCAGAACGAAGGCCCTCCACTGACTTGCCTACTAATACTGTACTGTAACATAATGGCTAAGTCTTTTCAGGAGACAAACCCAGACATAAAATGTTTAGCAGCAGCAAATCCCAGCTTGTAGACATCAAGTGCTCACAAGCCAGCACTTGGCCTACATTAGCATGCAATACTCACGTGTTCTGGTGTGCACGCTGGATGCAGTTGAAGAGATGTCCATTATCAGGGTCTGTGCTATACATGATTGGATACTGTTAAAGACACCAGAGGTTAGCAAAGAGGCACTTTCACATCTTTTTGCTCTAATGTCATTGTCCACTACCCTGGGCATACTTGTGTATTCCCCAAGTTAACATTCCCAAAAAGGAAATCTTATCTATTTTTTTCTTTTGACAAGACCATCCAGCTGTCTCAGGTTTTGAGGAGTCTAAGCCAAGGTGTACCACATTCATTTCCCTCAAGAATACTGCTAAAAAATGTATTTCAAGCTCCTTGTTGTACTGACTTAACAGTGCACAGAAGCCAGGGTGCAAAATCAACACCTGCCACATTTCTGCAATTGCTACCAGCTACAAAAAAAAAGCAACATGCTCCCCCCCCACCATACTTTGTTAAACCCATCCTTTAGCTCTCCCCAGCCCAGTCATGGCTGGTTCTCTCTGCAATCCCTCTGAATGGCAAATGCTTTCCTGAAACACCACAGGGGATCCAGAGCTATGTGCATGCATGATGCTCTTTGCTTACTCACAAACATGGTGTTTGTGTGGGTATTTCACCCATGAGTGTCCACTCTGACTAGAAGCCTGCTAAGCTCTGGTCTCAACTCATGCACTACACTGAATTCAGTGCCTATTGCTTTTATTCATCTACACTAAAAACATTCCCTTGCCCTTACAAGGCTAGCGCTAAGGTAGAGTACTGGGACTTGCTACTCCATGTCACAAGACCAGTTTAACACCTCAGAGACCCTAAACTGGGTGTGTAGGAACTGCCATCATAGGTTATCCATAGGGCCTGACTCAGGCCTCAATGCTAACAGCATGAGCCCTTATCATTTGAGCTAGAGAGGTGAACTCAACTGAACTCTCATCCTCCATACACCAGTCACTACAAGAACATGCATCACTATTTAATATGTTACCTATACAAACCTAGCACCCCACAGCCATCCAGATATTGCTGTAGCCATGGTACACACCCACTGATCCACCCTCAATCCTCTATGGCTGAGAGCTTTGTAACACTAGTTCCCAAGTCTCTCAGATATACACCTGGGGGAAGGGCTTACATCAGGGGTGGGCAAAATGCGGCCCGCCAGGCCATTCTATCT